GACCCCTATGGATCCCCAGGGATACTAGTAGGCTGGTAAAAGAGGAAATCTGTTTTCCTGATGATTGAAATGTAAATGTGTGATATATGTTATGTTATAAAGTGTGTAAGATTTCATGATATTATAAGGTTATTGTTTTCATATGTTGTTTTCATGGATCTCGCCAGAGTAAGTGGACAGCAAAAAATTTTATTATTGATAAATGAATTATGCTTCATTGATCATTTTTGTTTTCTACCCACCTTTACTTCCGTGGCGGTGAGATAATGTGATGTCTTTACTGGTATGGTGTAGTTCATTCCTTATTTAACCATTTCAGATCAGGAAGACATTGTTCCCGAACCCGTTTCGCAGAAGATGGCGAAAGGGACGCCTAAAGACTCCATAGCTATATTTATAGTTCTTATCTCGAGTATCTCTTTTAGTTAGTTTGTTTTTTCATGTTTTGAGTACGTTTTGGTTATTGTGTAAGGGATGTTAATTAAAATTTTTATTACGCTTTCGCATTTGACGTTTTTAATACATATATTTCATTTAAATTTTCGGGGCCATTACAGTTGGTATCAGAGCCGCGTTCCTCGGACCCATCCCTTACACAATAATGCTTAGAGAAATATTCACCGATAAACCGTTACTCAACCATTCCTTATAAAATGCAGGTGCAGAGAGATGAGGAGAGGAAGACTCCCACTAAACTGAGCGGCCCGGGATAATTCACTTCGGGAGAATGTAGACAGGTTATTTGAGATGATAGAAGGATTCATAGCTTCCTAGCAAGGGCGAGGGGAGAGACGGGAGTTACCCGACCCTCCTCCACTACCGCAGGTTGAGCCTCCGCTACAGCAGGCTGATCCCGAGCCACCTCGGCACGAGCCTGCTCCTACACAGTACCACCCGGCACCACTGCCGTAGTACAACCCGGTGCCCCAGCCACGGTACTACCCGGCACTGCTACAGCACGACCCAGTGCCCCCAGCATATCAGCAGGTGCCACCACAGGACCCCCCAATCTATCCCCAGCCGGGTCCAGTCCCTCCTCCACGAGACCCC